AACATCTTTATAATACATTTTTTTATTTTACTTCTTTGACTTCTTTATTTTATTTCAATTTATTTCATCTATTCTTCTACTACGAAAATTATTAATGATTACGGATTTGTCACAACATATTGAAAATAAGCATTTTCATTTTATTTTATTTCAAAAATAATATATTTTTTTGAATCGTAACACATATTGTCAAATATATAAATCCAATCAATAAAACTATAAGAGATTATTTTATAGGAAATTATATTTTATTCAATCACAATAAGTATTATTTAAATCGATATTAATCATCTTAGAAAAAAATCGATAAAATATTTAATAATAAAAGATCGAAAAATATTCAATCATTATAAATTTAATAAAAAAAAAAAAAAGTTAAATTTCATAAATGGATTAAATAATAATTATATATTGATGATGTCAATTTAATGTAAATCTTCTATTAATTAAATTGAACAAAAATTTGATAATAATAAATATAGTTTTTCAATAAAAATCATTTGACAATTATAAATTAAAAAACTAAGATTAAAATAAAATTTAAGAATAATTTTAATTTATAAAAAATAATTTATGATTTTTTTGTTAAAGACAAAATAAATAAAATTTCATTTCGAATTGAATTATATATTAATTAAATAAAAAATTAATATTAAATTGATTTTTTCGGGGGAATTATTTTTGTTTTAATTATTGAGAAATAAAAAAAAAAAAGAAAAAAGCATATAATAGAAGAACAACATAAATAGTTTCTCTAAATATAATTCAAGAGAAAAAATCAAAAGATATATTTATATATATATCAAGTCAGTTTTTTCTTTTGAAAAAAAAAATGTTCAAAGATAATGAATGTAAATAAATATTTGACAAGTTTTATCTTGTTCATGTTCGAATGTCAAATTATAATCGAAATGATCAGTTTATAAATATAATATTTTTTATTGTTTGGAAAAAATAATTGAAAGTCATGGAAGAATAAAATGTCTAAGTGATTGTTTTAATGGTGGTGAAAGTGATGAATGTTCAAGTGTTTGTCTATTAAGACCACCTATTTTAGAAGAACAAAGACGTTTACGTATTCTATTTCGACAAATTTGTTTTAATTTTAATGGTGTTGAAAGTATTGTTGTTATTGTATCAATTTCATCTGTTGCTTTATCAAAATGACTTCCTAAATCTTCTGTAAATAATTCAACAAGTTCATGATTTGTTAATGTTAATTGTTCATTTTCATACATAACATGAATTAAATTTCTAAGAATACTACCTGTATAATGTCTATCAAATTCATC